GCTAATAGTAATATAGTTTAAATGTTCCTTTTGATTTGAACCAGATTATCTGACTATCCCAAAAACACTTGATGAACATCAGTGACGCCGCCCACAGTGAATCGAATACATTGTTAAACTGAATCGAGACACAGAGGAGTTTCTGCCACATGAGTGAAACCCCTTTTCATGTCCTCTTGTCTCCTCTTCCCTCAGAGCCTCGATCTGCTGCCGAGTCAGGTACCTCCACCCTCGCCCCTCTCCATCGCCATCCGCCGCTGCCTTTCGCTTGGCTGTGACTAATGTGTCAATTTGACTCACAATCCACACCTCAGTCTGACGGACTGCGTCCGCACGACAACACAAACGCAACATCGCACACAAACAATGACACGGGCGCTCGTTCGCGTCAGACGCCTTTCCCTTCAGGCGTTATACTTTCAGACTGTGAGTCACTCAGACGTCCCCGAACATCTGTGCCGCTGTTCTTCGCAGTCACGTCCACGTTGGCGCACACGTACACACACACACACACACACTCTGACTCACCAGTCTACGGCCTCTCCATCGCCTCTCAACCGATCGAGTGTCAACATGTGTCGCGATAAGTGAGCGGTTGTGTTTGTGCGTTCTTGTTGTTGTTGTTGTTCTCTCAGAGGAGATCTGCACCCTGGTGATAGCCGAGGCCTTTCCGGAGGACGGGGGTCCGTTCTGCTGCACGGCGTCCAACGCGCACGGCTCCGCTAACAGCGCGGCGCGACTCACCGTCGCTGCAGGTGCGTCCGGCGAAGAGGGGCGGGGCTTGAAGGCGTCCCATGAGAGAAACCCGTCGGTCAGACGAAGCCCCAGATACAGAAATCAGAGTTGGGACACGACGTTAAAAAATAGGCCAATATGGGGGAGTTATGTTCTATGAACAGTAGCATTGATAGCAGCTAAAATTCGATCCCCACCCTTTTTAAGTGTATTTTGTTTAAAATGCATCCATGTGAAGAAGGAAAATGAATCCTGACTCACAGTGGTCTTCTTCTGTGGTGTTTATCACCGAGTGGTCAGTGAGTGAGACGGGATGAACGGCGTCAGCTGATGAGCTGCTCTTTGTGAGGACAGCTGGACGTAAATATTTCTGTGTGTGTGTGTGTGTGTGTGTGTGTGTTATCACAGACTGGACTGTGTATGTGTGTCTGTGTGTATGGAACTCACAGCGCGGATAAAGGAAAAGGCTGAATAAACAGGAATCAGCCTGACTGGACCCTGCTGCTACTTCAGATCAGATCAGCTGTGTGTGTGTGTGTGTGTGTGTGTGTAAAATGTTAACATTTAAAGTACAACATTTTCCCCTTTCCTGTTCCGTCCGTGCCCCCCAGCAGCCGGGGGCTCATCCAGTAATGGCGTGTCTGGTTCGGGGTGTGAGGATTCGGCAGCCTTCCCCCCTCCACCTCCTTCCCCTCCACCCACAGAGATCAGCCTCCTGGAGCTGCCACCCAAGATGCTGCCTCATCCCGGCGCTTTCCCCCTCCGGGAGGTGGAGTTGTGGCCCGGCGGGTCGACCCTGCCCCCGGCGGAAAGGGGGTCAGGGGTGGAGGAGAAGGAGAAAGGCTCCCTGGCAAACGGCCGACCCCCCAATGCAGCATCGCCACCGCCGCCGAGCCCGCCAAAAGCAACCACGCCGCCGCCACCGCCCCCACCGCCACCGCCGCCACCGCCGCCACCACCAAAGTCGGACTCTGGGCTGGACTCCTCCCCCTCCTTCGGGAACGGTCCCCCGCTGCCGACCAGGCCGAAGCCAAAGCTGTGAGTACCTGGCGTTTGCCCTGGGAGGCCCGTTCGGAGTTTTGCTGGAAATGATTGTGTCTCCGCTTTGTGAAAGAGTTCACATGGGGGGGGTACCGAGGAGACCGAGTGGATCTTCTCGCCGGGTGTCGGTCGGCTCTCTGCCTGTAAACAGACCTGCGAGGCTTCGGCTGGAGGCCCCATTGTTGCTTGCATGCAGAGAGCCCTTGTGTTCGCCTCGTCAGCAGGTAGCGGAGGACAATCCAACGGCTCGGTTTCCTGCGTTTCTTTGCTTGTCTGTCCAGGACGAGCGTCCTGTGCATGGGTTTGCTTTTACACAAGAAATAGGAATTGAGAGACAGAAAGCGGACGGTCCACAACCACAATTAAAAAACCTGCTGTGAAAAGGTTGATTGTTGTCCGTGCTGCAGCCGTCCTCCAAAATATACAAAATAAAAAATATTCATGATGAGAATAAAACCTACCGACTGACGACCCCCTGACCTTTTTCCCTAACGGCCCCCCCAGACGATTGTGGTTCAGGTTAAATTATTTAATTGGATCGATTGACACTTAAATTGATATTATATAATATATAATATATATAATTCCTATTTATGAGGGTCGAACTAAAAAGTCACATGTAACATTATTCAGTGAAACATCTCTACATATTGGATTGGCACCAAACATTAACATTCATTGTGAATAAATATAAATGACATCACAGATACTATTTTTGGATGGATTGCAGTAAGATTTGGTGCAGACCCTCTGCGGTCCTTAGCCAATGCTTTGGTCTTATAATTAGCCCGCTAACTAAAGAAATATTAGCATGCTAACTTGCCTACGCGGTTTCATTTTGCCCTCTTAATCCCTACTGAGGCAGGGAGATTCTTCTGGAGAAGTTTGTAACCCTGCGAGCAGACGTTTGGCCTCGGCTTTGGTCACGCTGCAGTGAAGCCTGGTTCTATTCCCACTGCATGCGCACCGGACTCGTCGTGCTCGTGGATGTTACAGATCTGCACGTCTGTGGAGACAAATGTTCGTGACCTGTTGATTCTGTGCTTCCAGAGCTGAGAGTGTAGAGGAGGAAACAGACCGTTACAGGTAACTATTTGGCTGTGAAGGTGATGCTCTGGATGTGACTTGAGTGGCGCTGTAGGAGAAATTTATTTAAAATGAATTCACAAAACGCTGAATCAGAGGCAGCGGCGGGAGAAGCAACCACTTTGTTGACGTGCCATAACGTTGATGGACAAAGTGGAACTATGACCTTTGTGTATTTTTAGAAGAAGGCGATACCATGAAATAGACTCACTTTCACTACGTGAAGGCAGTGGGGATCAGTATGTAGGAGATGTTTATTATCTGAGGGAGCAGCTCTCCAAAGGTATCAATGTGTAGACTTTTATACTTATTATTTATTTTAAAAAGTTCCTGGATATCTGCGCAAATCGGCTTATTAGTTTAAGGTTAACCATCACAGTGTAAAACAATCGTTATACTGCAATGTTCAGTAAAATATGTTATCTGTACATTAGTTAGAATTCATAATCTTTGCTAATGTTACAATGTGAACAACCAATCATTGTTAGATCAATACGAGGAGAGCTAGTAACGTTAGCAGCACCGCTAACGGTAAATCAATGGACCACCAGTTCAGTTACGTTATGATGCGTTCAGGCTCTGTGTAAATTCAATGTTAGTGTGAAGTGTTCACGTAATCTCGTAAAATGGGAGTGTAATTCAATAAATCCAGTAGTTAGATGTTTTCACATTAATATCAAATATATATATAATAATAATATATATAATCAGGACCAAGAGGATCTGCATCTGCCAATATGGATCAATGATGCAATGATAAGCAGTTTACCGTTGGCACAAAAATGGAATCAGGGACCTAAAAGTTGTATTTGCTGGTTTTTTCGTAGGGATCTGATCCGGGATTTGAACAGCGAGTCTTACGATCAGTTATTATTTTATACCATGATTATTCATAAAAAGGGACGTCTGCATTATACGTCTTGTAGAGAATGTTGCGTTTGCAAATGTAGAATAAATGGATCCTAATCACAGGGAAAACAAACCGGAGGCCTGCGTGACGGATTGTTTCCACTTCAATAACGCCGACAAGTCGCTGTGAGAGGGATCCGGGTCGGTGGGCGCGTACGCGGGTCTGATGCCCGGCGCTGATGTCAGACGTTGGGATAAGAATCCAAAGGGAAGTTCTCAGGGCGAGAGGCTCCTGTTGGCCAGTTGGCTCCGAACCAAAGCCGCACGGCCTCGGGGAGAGAAAGAGCTTCGCCACGCGGTCGAGAGGGGAGGGATCGCTATTTGGCAGCACCGTCTCGTCTGGTGTCGCTTTGGAATGAAACATTTTTTTTCCTCCGTAAAAAAAACAATCCCAACGCAGAAACTGGCCGCTTTAGTTGGCGAGATCGACGGACGGGTTATTTTCAGACTACAGTAAGCAGGATAAAAGTGACACCTTGTGACGTCCGTGTTTACGTCGCCGCCTGAGGATTCAACACAAAACACACGGCGCTCAAGTTACCGACTGCTTTAAGCCAATCCGTTGTTCACGGCGGCCAAGTCGTCTCGGGATGGAAGCCTGTTTTCGAGCGCCAGACACGCTCTCCAAGACGGGCCGGGTCTCTATTAAAAAGATCTGGCAGGATCCAGGACTACAGTTAGCGTTGGGCATCACAAAGGTCACGGTGCCGCAGGTCTCAATCCGCTGCTCTCACAAATGCAACGTGAACGCATCGTAGAACTCAGTCCGCCGATGATCTACTCGTCGAATCGCTCAACAAAGTTTCGGTCGCGGAGACGCTACAGTGGACGCGTAACACCTGGAGCCGGTAAACGCGCGTGCGGTTTGACGGATGAGGTTTGACGGATGAGGTGTCGGCGCCGTTTGGCGTCCAGTGTCAGCCTTCCTGTATTGATAAAGGCGCACGTTTGCCAAGTGCGACATTTCACACGGATCTGCGTTGCCCGCATCCATTTGGGTGTCATGACACGTCCCTGCTAGTACAAGACGGTGCACGTGGTTGTGCGAGTTCACTTCACACGTCCAGGTATTTTCTTCTGAGACGAGGCTTGTGTCGGTAAGTGGCTTTAAAGCTCCGTGTTGTAATTAAATTGTACGTATGATGCAATAAAAAAAAATAAAAAAGAAACCAGCTCGCTGAGACCTCGACACAAAGGAGGAGACTGTAGGTGTGACCCCGGCGATATCGACCGTGATAATAGGGGCAAAGCATTATATTACAGGGTGGGGTGGTGTCTGGGTGGGCGTCTCAAACGCACAAGGAGCAGAGGCAGCAATTATCCTCCAATCATCCCAAAGCTTAATCTCTCTTTCGTAAGACCAGGAATCAACTTTGTCAGTCGAAATTGTTCTGTTGCACGGACTTCATGCCACGGAGGGCTTTTTTAAAAACGTGTCTTAGCAACATTTCTTTGGGTTTGTTTGCGCTTCTGCAACTCCAACATGAAATAATGACCGTAAAACAAACCTTAACTGGTCTAGCCGATGCTACCCATACCCAACGCAATGCACTCACTTAGCTAGCAGTCTTTGATGTTAGCTGAGCCGTTAGCATTGTTTCCCCCACTAGCATGGCAGCTAACGTTAACTGCCACGGGATTTTAGCCATCCACAGAGTTTGAATTAACACCCACAAACACAAACGTTCAGGCTAATAAAGCGAGATTAACAACACTTTGAACGTACTGTTCCTAATTTTCCTTATTTTTTCTCGACCCAACGTTAGCTTTCTGGCTCTCTCCAGGGTTGTGTTTGCTGTTAGCATTGTTAGTCCCGCTAGTTTAGCGGCTAACTTGTATAGAATTTCCATCATCCACAGAATCTGGAACAGAATCAGTTTTCTAAAACAAACTCTTGCGTTTAGGCAAATTAAACAAGAATAGAGAGAAAGTGCATGATGGTGTTTTTACTCTCCAATTTCTACTAGTCTTTCTCCCGCCTTCTTTCTGAGCTACAACCAATTACAACAGGTTTCCCTGATTGACAGCTGCGCCAACCAATCAAATAGAAAAGCTGAAACTAAAGACTCACTCCTTATGTGTATGATATTTTTTAAAGCCTCATTTTTCTTAATCTCATAGCTCATTGTGGAATCTGTGGAACGTCTCTCGCGCCCTGCGGCGATGAAGACGAGGAACGGTCTAATCCACTTTAACGTGGCCTCTGTTCCAGGTCTCATGACCGCAGAGATTAAAACTATTTCTGCAGCGGCTCCAAACCTCCGCGCCCCCCCACTGAGGCTGTTGTCAGGGGCAACGGCACACAAACCGAAGACAACAAGCAGCCTTCTGCCAAAACGCCGCGTCCTTCATACTCACCAGACCGCGGTGTTTCCTCCTGGTGTCCGATGCAAAGCGGGGTCAATGTACCGCCGGGCTCGCATCCGGGCCGTGACTCCCGGTGTGCGTTTTTTGTTTACGAGCTGCAAGTCGTGAACCCTCTAACGAAGTATTAACAATCACTTTCTTGTCGAGGTGTTGCTTGTGTGTTTTATTTATTTTTTTATTTTTATGGAGAGCAGGAAACACGCGTGTTGTAAAACCACATACGGTGCTGGACGCACGCTGAGATCTTTGCGTGCGGTTCGTCACCAACAGTTAACTAATGGAGGTTAAACACCGCGAGCGAACAGAGGGGAAGAGAAGGAGCAGCAAACAGAACGTTGTTTGTCATCAGGGAGGAGGGCTGAGATTGTGCAACGAAACGGAGAAAAAGCCGAACGTGTAGTCGGAGCGGAGAGACTCAGGGGGAGCCGATCATTTCCCAT